ACACACACACACATATACACACACGGAATCCTGGCATGGTGCTGTGGGTTAATGTGCTGGACTGCAAAGTTGGTTTGAACCGTTAAGGTCAGCAGTTCAAGCTTACCAGCTACATCTCAGAAACCCTGTAAGGGTTGCTATGGGTCAGAACTGACTTGACAGCACTTAACACACACACACACACACACACATATATGTAATATATATGTATATATGGTATGGCACTGTGGGTTAATGTGCTGGACTGCAACGTCAATGGTTCAAACTCACAAGCTGCTCCTTGGAAACCCTATACAGGGTTACTATCAGTTGAAACCAAATCATAATGAACCTGCCTAGGGCTTCTGAGAAGTAAGGAGCAGCTGATATATATATATGGGTGTTGGTGGTCCCTATTCACAAGAGAACTGTATTATCCTCACAGTCACTGTTAAGCTTGAGTCCCCTGCTGCTGTCACTGTGGCAATCCAGATAGATAGATAAATAGACAGATACAGACATCGATATACACATGCTTCATCAGCTTTACTTCTCCAGCGAACCCAGCCTAAGTCAGTCACAGTTTAGGAGGGTTCACTCAGACTCAAGTGTACACAGAAAGAAGCTGACCACGGTGGTGAAACAACTAAACTTAAACAACTAAAGCAGTTCCACAGGCAGCCCAGACTTCTTTACTGACTCCACACTTCCTAGCTCTGTCCCTGGCCATGGGGCCACCCCTTGTACCTCAAGTTCCTGACCATGCAAACTGGGGACAGTGAGAGTATCTACCACACTGGATTGCTGGGAGGAAGAAATACACTCGGCACAGGATCTGCCCTCTAGATGGAATGCAGCTCACACCACTGTGAGAGATGGTCCTTTTCTAAACTGATTCCATGGGGCTCTGAGAGCAGCTCACCCATCCCTGAGGTTTGACTAGTGGTCTTCAGACAGTTGAGGGGCTGCTGGCAGAAGAGGGATACAAACCAGTACCCCCTGACCTGGTGTGTTCACTCAAATGTTAGCTGGCCAACTGGTTAGGACAGCGAGCGCCGAGTCTAGCCAAAGACAGAAAGAAACGCACCACTCCTCCGGCACAGACCTCTTCCAAACCTAAGAGTTAATGATTCCAAGGATCAGATCAAAAACTAAGCTTACCCCAAAGAGACGCCCCTCAGACACTAATCCTGTCATTGCTGGAGATGGTCTTGAGGTGAACACTGACTGCAGTTGAAATGATCAGGTTTTGGCCGTAGCGGGAAGATGTTTTCTCTAAAACATTTTCAGAGGGAGCCAAACTCACCATGTGCCTTGCATGGCCTTTTCAACTTTATCAAAAATCTTTTCTTCAGACATGTGGAAAATGAGAAGTTCTGACTGTACAACCAAGAACGAGTAACTATTGTTTCCCTATTTTTGCATTCTTTACATGTATGAGCAGAGGCTTATTTTAGCAACATTGTCTTAGCAATGGGCTCAAACGAACAATAGTGACAATGGCACAGGACCGGGTAGGTGTTTTGTTCTGTTGTGCAGAAGGTCGCTGTGAGCTGGAACTGACTCATCGGTACTAACAACATCTTAAACAGGCTTTGGTTAATTCTGAGCAAACACTACAGGCTACTTCTTGAGCACAACTATGTGCTTGTTACCAAGCCAAATAGTTCATCAAGACGATCACCTCAGTCCATCAGTGGATGAACAGATAAGCAAAACCTGGTGAGTACATACAAAATGTGGGCATACATACTTTGGACACATTTTCAGGAAGGATCAGTCCGTGGAGAAGGACATCATGTTTGGCAAAGTGGAGGGTCAACAAAAAAGAGAAGACTCGCCCCCAACGGGATGGACCTGCACGGGGACGGCAGCCCTGTGCTGCAGGTGCACTGTGATTCTTAAGGATGTTGCAGTTCTGTTGTGCACAGGGTGGGTTCGGACTTGGAGCAGACTCAATGACACCTAATAACAGCAATACACACACACACGATGCGGCTTCAAAAAAGTTTGTGGGGAAAAATTGAAAGATAATGAAAAACTTTCACAAACTTTGTGAAGGCTCCTCATGTATATAATTGTTCTTAAGTGCCATTGAGTCGGTTCTGACACACAGTGACCCTGTATAGGGTTTCCGAGGAGGACCTTGCAGTTCACGGTCCAGGGCTGATCCTACAGTGCCATACCAGGAGTCCTCACGTATGTATGTGTGTATGAATATCTACATAAGAAAAAGAAAGAAGTAGAAATAGCATTAGTGACTTTACGATCATCTTCTGATTCCTTCTCAGGCTGGCCAGTGCACCTACCAGGAGCCAACGCTGACTTCTGTCCCGACACTCATCCTCTGTCCTACAGACAAGCCTGTTACAGGATCCAAGCACAGTGCCTGGCACACAGTGGGTGCTCCCTGCCTGCTGAATTAGCCTGCATCGAGTGAATCCTGAGACCAAGAATGCGGCCCTCAGTTCCCCTGGCTGGACCATGTGAGTGCTTTCTTTGACAGTTTGTTGGAACTTGGAAGGCATGCTGCTATATGGTGATTAGATTCCCACAAAAGCCCACTGACCCAATAAGTAAAGTTCCTCAATAAAAAGGACCAAACTTCATCTCCTTTTACAAAATTTTTTCCTACAGAGAAATGGACCCAGCCTACTTGGCAGACCAGGAACCCTCCCTGTTCCATGATTCGGCTGTATCCGGTATTTTTTTTTTTCACTTTTTATTGTAAATTGGGTGAAGGTTTTACAGAGCAGATTAGTGTTCCATTCAACAACCCATACACATTTTTTTGCTGCATCTCATTGACTGCAATACCCACAATGCAACATCATGAGTCAGTCCCACTTCCTTTACCGTTTCCATGCCTCCTCCTTTCCTAACCCATCTGTACCTTGTCCTTGGGTAAATGCTATGCTTTTGATCTCAAGATGGTTCTCAGGCGTGTCTACCTCCTAGTGTTAGTGTTCCCCTTATGAAGCTGTCTGTTGATTGGCTGAACATTGGGCCATGGGGGTGAGTTCACATAGAGACCTGAAAGGTAACCAAGGACCACAGACGCGGGGGTTCCACCAGTCTCTGACCGATCAGTAAGCCTGGTCTTTTTTATGATTGAGCTTTGCTCTATGCAGAACCTTCTATGTAATTCCTTTTAGAGCAGTTAGAAGTAGCAGGGTACCACCTAGTTCTGGTGTCAGGGAGGAGGAGACTGATGCTTGGGCAATCTGTTAGTCCACTGGACTCAAGGTTTCTTTTCCATGTGTCTTCAGTTTGATCCTCCTACTTTTCTTACCTCTGGACAAGAGGAGACCAATAGTTGTCCCTTAGCTGCTCACCAGCTTTAAAGACTTCAGTCAGCCACTTACCAAATAGGATGTGGAGCACTGTCTGTGGACAACGTTATGCCAACTGACCTTGGTGTCCCCTGAATCTGGTCCCAAGTATACAGGACCAGCTGTACTTGCTCTTTGTGACAGTATTCACTGCTGTAATTAATATAGGTTTTTCCAAGTGTGTGTCATTTCCTCGGCTAAAATTTTAATTCCAGCACCTAACACAGTCTTGCACATTTAATAACTGGCTGTGAGACCAACAGACGGCAGTGAAATGATTGTCTTGGAGGAGTTTGAGGAGATTTTTCTTTCCCTCCTTTGGAAACAACTACGTAAACCTGCTGCCGATGAGTCAATGCTAACTTAAAGCCACCCTGTAGGATAGGGTAGAGACGCCTCACAGGGTTGCCAAGGCTGGGAATCAGTACAGAAACAGACCGCCACAGCTTTCTCCCACAGAGTGGCTGGTGGATTCAAACTGACAACCTTCCAGTTAGCAGCCGAACGCTTTAAAGTCTGTACTACCAGGCTTCACTGCAAACAGCTATTGTCTCTGTCAGATTCCTGGTGTGTTACCGTACAATTAAACACTGGACGGCAAGCCACAAGGTCTGTGGTCCAAACCCACCCAGCTGCTCCTTGGAAATCCTGTACAGAAATCAACTCGATAGCACTTAACAATCGTCTCTATTTGGTGAAAACTAAATATATGAATCCCAAAACCAGTCATTCACCCCAGAAAGGACTGCTAGAGATAAGAGGGGCAGACTGGGTGAGGGAGAAATTAGCTCCAGTTTCCCAGAGAGGCACACCACTAAAAAAAAAAAAAAGGCATGAGTAACCACACACAGGGGCTGAGAGTTCAGGGACGGGATTGAACCCTGATCCACTCACTGCTTTCCCAGGAGCTGTTCCTGGGGGAAGGAGCGCCAGGTGACTCCTCTGTGCTCATTCACATACCAAACAGGCTGGAGACTGGCTATACCGAGCAGGTTTGTAACTGACGTCCCCTATCCTTAACGTCAGTCTATACAATCATCAACACTGTTTGGTCTATGGCAAACACAGGACAGCCATCAGGCTTGACACACTTACGATTCCATGGGTTTGGGCCACCATGCTGCACAAATCAGGACGCCACTTCTGAAGAGCCTGATAGAATGGGTTTTTCAGGAGATCTTCATCATACATAGCCATATGGGCTTCAGAAGGGACAAAGTGGGTTTCCTGGGACGAGGAAAGAAAAAAAGCAATCAGTGACCAAATTTATTTAACTCATTAAACTCTTGATCTGGCCATTCCAAACAGCATTCCTTCAAACAAACAAAAAAACGATTCCTAGCATGTGTTACTCTAGCCTACAGACTTCTCACTCATTCAGGAAACACCAATTATAACCTACCAATTCCAAGATGCCTTGCTTATTGGTTAAATGTACAGAGTACATTCAGAAGACTCTCAAAACTCCCTGTCCATCACCATAAAAGTATAAATGGCTATTTTAAAAACAGCTGTTGGTGTTAAGTGCCATCAAGTCAGTTCTCACTAATAGCGACCCTGAATAGGGTTTCCAAGGCTTAAAATTTTTAAATCCTTGCAGGAGCAGAAAGCCTCATCTTTCTTCCAAGAAGTAGCTGGCGGCCTCAAGCCACTGACCTTGTGGTTCGCAGTCCAGTGCTTTTTTATGAAAACCACTGCATTTCCTTTAAAAGTTGTTGCTGTTGTTGTGAAGTGCCATCAAGTCGGTTCCGACCCACAGCAATCTGTAGAGGGCTTCCAGAGCAGCTGGTGAGCTTGAACCACCAACCTTGCAGTTCAAATGGCTTTGCAGTCTGGTGCATTAACCCACAGCACCACACCAGGACAGTAGACATGACCAAAATTACACCATTTGAAAGATGATACATATATATTTTAAAGAAATAGTTCAAAATTATAAATATATGTCATTCTTCAAATGTCCTAATTTGGGCCATGTTTGCTGTTCTAAAAACAGACATTTATATAATTTAAGAAAAAAAAACTCATTTTGATGAAATAAATAATTTAAGCGTACAAACCGTCACTTGTCTGTCAGTTTGTGGTACTATGATACTGGTGGACAGGTTTCAGTGGCGCTTTCAAATTAAGACAGACTAGGAAAGAGAACCTGGCAATCATTTCTGGAAACAGTAGCCAGTGAAAACCTTATGAATGGAGTGCCAGGAGATGAGGCTCTCAGGTTGGAAGGCACTCATAATAAGGACTCAACAAGAGCTGCCATCCCAAAGCACAGTTACCCTCAATGATGCGAATGCAGTAAAGCTTTTAAGACCTTCATTTGCTGATGCAGCATGACTTAAAAGGAGAAGAAAAAGCTGTGAACAGCCATTAATAATCTAAACATGGAAAAATGAAATGGAATACATAAAGATCAATATGCTAGGCTGAAATGGACTAGTATTGCACATTTTGAACTGGACAATCAGATTTGCCTCCTATGCCAGGAATAACAGAGTGAAGAGGAACTGTCATCCATTTACCATCAACAAAGAACAATTCAAGGTCTATCATGAAGTACAACCCTGTCAATGATGGGATAATATCCATACATCAACAGATAGATCAAAAGAATAGACCAGTTACTACGACTAATTATTCAAATTTACATAGCAACCACTAATGCCAAAGATGAAGAAATTGAAGAGTTTTACCAACTTCTGCAATCTGAAATTGATCAAGCATGCAACCAAGATGCACTGATTATTATTAGTGATTAGAAAGCAAAAGTAGGAAGCAAAGAACATCAGTAGTTGGAAATATGGCCAAAGTGATAGAAACGATGCTGGAGATCACACGATAGAATTTCTAGAAGACCAACAACTTACTTGCTGCAAATGTCTTTTTCAACAATAAAACGGCAACTATACACGTGGACCTCACACCAATGAAATACACAGGAATCAAACTGATTTACATCTGTGGAAAAAGACCATGGAGAAGGTCAATATCATCAGTCAAAGCAAGGTCAGGGGCAAAATGCAGAAGAGACCATCACTGCTCATATGCAAGTTCATGCACAGAAAAGAAAGCTGAAAAAAATGAAACGAAGTACATGAGAACCAAATTACAACCTTCTTACTGGTGTTGTGTGCTGTTGAGTTGATTCTGCTCATAGCAACCAACCCTGTATAGGGTTTCCAAGGAGTGATTTGGTAAGCTTAAACACCAGCATTACAGTTAACGGTCCAGTGCTTACCCTGCAACTTCACACCAAGACCCCAATAACTAAGGACTGTTGCAGCTCAGAGCAACCTTATGCACAACAGAACGAAACACTGCCCAGTCCTGCGCCAACCTCACAATTGGTATTACATTTGAACCCACTGCTGCCGACACTGTGCCAATTCATCTCATTGGGGGTACACTTCAAATGTATCCAAACCAAAAGTCAAACCCACTGCCAGAGTCACTTCTGACGCAGTGACTCTAATATTTAGACACCCTCATCTTTCTCCTGTGGAACCCCAGGTGGCTTGAACTGACAACCTTGTCGTTAGAAGTACAGTGCTTATCCTTCAGCACTCACTACCAGGCTTCTTTGACCTTAAGCATCACAGTGGTGGGGAGTTGTAGCATGCCGTAGAGTTGGTTACAACTCATAGTGACCCTGTCTAGGATTTCCAAGGCTGTACATCTTTATGGGAGCAGAAAGCCTCATCTTTCTCCTGAGGAACGGCTGATAGTTTTGAACTGCAGACCTTGAGGTTAGCAGTCCAATTCATAACCATTACGCTACCAGAGCTCCTTTCACTTAAGTATATTGTTGTTGTTGTTAAGTGCCATCGAGTCGGTTCCCACCCATACTGACCCTGTATAGCGTGAACTGCCAGCCTTGCAGTTCAAACGGCTTTGCGGTCTGGCGCATTAACCCACAGCGCCAAACCAGGAATCCTGACCTAAGTATATCCCACCTTAATTTAGAGACCATCTCAAAAACAAATTTGACACATTGAACGCTGGTGACTGGAGATCAGCTGGGAAGACATCAAGGACATCATATGTGAAGCAAAAGGTCGTTAAAAAGTCAAAATAAAGAAAAGTCCAGAATGGATGTCAGAAGAGAGTCTGAAACTTGCTCTCAAACAGAGTAGCTAAAGAAAATTATAGGAATGACAAAGTAGAAGAGCTGAACAGAGATTGCAAAGGGGGAGTTGAGATGACAAAGTTGTTTTATAATGAAACATGCAAAGACTTGGAGTCAGAAACCAAGATTTAAGAAAATGCTTGCTACTTCTCAAGCTGACCCTCAAAAATTCCAACACTGAAGGATTCTATGGGCAAATACTGAATGGCACAGGACACACCAAAAAGAAAATGGAAGGGTTGCTGGCATGTCTTCACTGGCACTTAATGTGTCTAGCTTGTGTAAGTCCGTGTTGTGTTGGTGGTAAGAAACTCAGGAGTACTTTTTTGTCTCAAATACCAGCTCTTAGCAAACTAGCATAAAGCTATCAAATGAGACTTATGTGAATCGGGTGTGATGACGGAATCTGCTCAGCCTGCTAAATGCTACTGTGCATATAATGCCATTTTGAGAAGCTATCTAACCTAATGCACACACTTTTTAAATGCTATAAAATACAGTAGCTAAATCAATGCCACTTTGTTTTTTCAGAGATGAATCAATGGCCAGTCTGGGCAAATTCAAAGCTTTTGATATATAAAACTTTATAAATGGAACTATTCCATCCCGAGGCAAAATGTAACAAAAAATGGTTTAGATGTCATTTCTTTGCACACGTGTCTATATTTAGTTAATACATCACTGTACTGGTCAGGAATCTTGCTCCAGTTAAGGAACATAAAGATTTTTAAAACGGAAGGAATATACAGAGGCACTGTACCAATAATTGATCAACATTCAACCATTTCAGGAAGTAGCATACGATCAAGAACCTACGTCCAACAATATATGGTACCAACCAAGTCCCCCACAATACTCTCTATTGAGCCGGGTCCGATAACCCGTTGCAAAGGCTATAGAGTACTCAAAAACATCATACTCAGAGTTATGGGGGTTAATAGGAAAGTTAACAAGTTACAATTTGGGTCAGAAATGCTCAGGGTACAATTGTGCCAGGCAACTGCTGATAAAAATGCCCGTAGGACACACCACAGCCTAAATGCACTTGGCTCTAGCTCCTCAGGTCAGCAAACCGAGCTGCCCACTTAAATGCCTGAAAGCACCTATTCTATAAGCAAACTTCCTGCACAAAGTCACTCAGCTTTACTTGCACTGTGGGCTGGGAAGTCCGCTGCTCTGTCTCGTGTTCTGGTTCTTGGTTCTGCGGCTGCTGTTCCTCTGCCGCTCTCCAGAGTCACAGCCTTCTGTCCCTAGGTTGCGTAGAGATCTCAGGGGCCAAAGGACACGCTCTCCTCCTGGCTCTTCTTTGATGGCAGTGAGGTAAATCCTGCTTCTGAGCTGTCTCATTGTAAACCCATACTAGAGCTACACATTTATGCAATTACAATGATCACTGCCAATGTGCACAGCTGAGTCACGTCATCCTATCAGTATCTTCTCCCACCTTCTCTTCCCCAAACCCAGCAGGGCAGAAACATTGTTTGGTAGGAGTTCGTTACAAACAATGGTTAGAAGACACATTAGATAGTTCACACCACCACACAATGGTAGGAAAAGAAGTCCAAGCTGTACTGAAGGCACTGGTGGAAAACAAGGCTCTTGGAGTTGATAGAATATCAACTGAGATGCGAAAACAAACCTGGAAGCACTGATCTTGACAAGAAATTTGGAAAACCTGGACAACAGACTGCAATGTACCCACCCATAGAAATATCACACACAAGTAAAGTTTTACTGGAGATCATTTTAAATGATTTCAGCAGTACACCTACAGGTCACTGTTATAAGTGCCATCGAGTCAGTTCTGACTCACAGTGACCCTCTCTCTATAAGGTTTCTGAGGAGTGGCTGGTGGTTTTGAACCTCCAACCTTGTAGTTAGCAGTCGAGCAATTATCCTACAGCACCAAATTGCCAGAAATTCAAGGCAGGTTCAGCAGATAATATGGAACAAGGGATATCATTGCTAATAGCAAATGGATCTTAACTGAAAGCAGAGCATCAGAACGATGGGTACCTGTATTTTATTGACAATGCAAAGGAATTCAATTATGTGGATCATAATAAATAATGGGAAACAT